AATCTACACTGTGACGAGAATCCATCATCTGAAGGGCCTTGTGCAGGAAGCTCATTGTATCCTACTGTAATGGTCCCTCGCGCTCCCTCTCGGAGGGAGGCCACTCAGGCTGGTCCTGTCAGGCCAGGACCAGAGTCTGCAAGACAGGCAAGAGCCCCCAATAGGGCTGGGTGATTAATAGTCCCTGTCAGGCTTTTGCCTGGGTTTGGGTGGCTCAAGCAGTTAGCCCTTAAACCGAGTCTATTCGGGCTGGCTGTGGCCTGGGCGGAGCTCAGGCAGCCAGCAAACAAAACAGTCTCTAGGTGAGCCAGGCCTGGGCCTGAGGAGACTCAGGCAGCCCGTAAGCAAAACGGTCTCAGGGCTGGGTTCAGCCAGCAAACAAACAGTCTTTTAGGGGAACTGGGTCCTGGGCTTGGAGAGGGACAAGCTACCAGCAAGCAACAGTCTTTCAGGGCTGGCTTTAGCCTGGGGAGAGTTCAGGCAGCCAGCAAACAAAACAGTCTACAGGTGAGTGGTAAGGGAAGCTCACTGTATCCTAGAGCCTCCTCTCTTCAGAGCTAGAGCCTCCTCTCACAGTGTAGGGGGTCAGCCACCCTGGGGTGGGGTGGCAGGGGGATGCGGGCCACCCTACTCCACCGCGTCCCACCCCAGGGCCCTGGCAGGGGCAGAATCGGCTGCTCCTGCGTCGGTGAGGATCCAGCCGCAAAACGCCGACTGGGCCACCCCTGGCTCTGCAGCCAGCTGCTTCGGGGCTGCCCCTGGGTCACTTCTTGCCACCCTGGGGTTCGATACCTCTAGCCTCCAGGCTTCTTCCAGCTCCTCGGGGTAGACTGCAGCAGGCACTCCGGGCCAGACCTCGTCGGCGTCTGTGGATTGGGCACCGCCTAGTGAGGGTTCCTCTTGGGGATGCGGCAGAGCGTCCTTCCCCTCCACAGGCTCTCCCCCAACTGTGCTGCAGGGCCCGCCTTTTATACTTCCAGCCACGCCCCAGTACTTCCGGCGAGGGGGGCGGGGCGATCTAGGCTCCACCCTCCAAGGGGAGTGTAATGGTCCCTCGCTCTCCCGCTCGGAGGGAGGCCACTCAGCCTCGCTACACCTACTCATTGAAGTCTTTGGCTCTATGGACCCAAGTCACCGCTGCTTTATTCCAGATTTACACTGGTGTAACTCCACCGATACCAAAACATGTATATTCAATATATAGTTTTCATCCACTTTCTCTATAAGGCAGGTGGGATGATTGATCCCTTTGTTTGGGGCTCATAAGACAATATGTGTTTTTACTGAAATACAATGGAGCAGATTCACTCTATGGGGATAAGTAAACCCAAGTCCATTGGCGTGAATGGAATTGTGTCCATTTGCATCAATGGTGAACAAAACATGCTGGTGATTTCTGAGATTCAATGTCCTGTTAGTTTGATTGTTTTGGCTGATTAGAACTGAAATCTTCCAATTAATTAGCTATTTCTTATTTAGTTCCTCAAGCCCAAAAAGTAAAAGAAAGGAAGAAAGAAAACACAAAAAACAGTAAGTAGAGATGTACTGAACTATCCAACTTGTTTTTGCTGAACTATCCCTTTAAGAGTCATGGATGTGGGGGAGGTTTTGGTACCCGAAAACTGTTTGTTGGTATTGTATGGGGTTAGCCACAGATGGGTACCCGTCACAGTAAACCTCCTCTTGCATTTTGAAATCACATGCTTATTTTCCAGCTAAAAGAAGGGATGTTTTTATCCTTCCCAAGAAGGATTTGAATTAGAGCTGGTCAGTGTTTTCCAAACTTGAACATTTCAAATTTTGAAGCTAGAAAAACTTCGTGTTGGGGGAGGGGGGGGAAATCCAAAAAAGTTTGTAAAATGTTTGTCCCTTTTCTCTGACCAACTCTACTTGGAACGTAAAGATCAAAGCATCCGGGGCTGCGGGCAGGGGCTGCTCAGTGGCAGGTGCAAAATACACCACTCGTACTTGGCCTTGCTGGGTGCTTGTGGAAGATTGAAGTACAGCACCACCGAGAGATGGCAATAGTGTCAGAAGGAGGTTTGGCACATGGAAAGCCCAATGATCAAATTTTCTTCATGCTGTAGGGACAAAGGCATTCGAAAGCAGCAGCGTGCTTTGAGGATGCACGGTCCCCACATGCCTCAGTCTTGCAAAATATATGCATTCACGTGTATGTACGGTAATTGTGGACACAAGGACTTCATGCAATCGGGCATGCAAAGGGTGGCTTGGGTGTACAAGTGTCCATTTGCACATACAGTGTATGCAATCTGCACGCACAACGTGGGAACAGCAGGCACCATTACCTGTGCAATATGCGCATATGTAATTTACACCCATAGCATGGGACCCTCCTTTGAACCTATGATCCCAGAGGTGGTGAAAAGCAAGAGATGTTTCAGGGAGCAGAGGGGCAGTTTGTTAATGTATGCTAACGCAGCTGGGACACTACCTCAGTCTTTAAAGGGCATCCAAACCCCTGCAGGAGGGGTGCACTCAGGAGCGGAGGCTGAGAAGAGACGTGACCAGCACTGCAGAGCGCAGACCAAAAATGACCCCTGACTCTGAGACACGCCACTCCATGCCAGGACAGCCCAGCGTGAGGCGAATGATCACATGCCTGCCTGCGATGTTTAATCTGTGACGCAGTCCGGATGTGCCCCCCCCCCCCCGTTGCTTTCACTCCCTTAGGGCAAGGTTGCAATTCCCTGACTCAGGAGAGCTCACACCACTCCAGCCAAAATGAGGAACCCTCTATGAATGCAGCACGAGAGGGGTGTTGTGCTCCCCCCATTCCTTTAACTCCTGCCTTATCTCCTACTAAGCACAAATAGCCCCATTGATTCCAGCGGGGTCACTCATGGAATAAGGCACCACTGACTGTAAGTGTGGCAGAACCTGCCGCTAAGTAAAAAAGAGGAACCAAAATAAATCTGGCGAAGGAAACTGTGTGGTTTCAAGGCAGCAGCTGTCCCCAGGGCAGACTCTGATCTCTTGAGCTGGGTTTTGATCCAGACTGCTAGTCTCTCTGGTTTGAGCCAATCTGCAGTGGGCCTTTCCCGGCAAGAACACAGCTGGTTACTCGTTCATTGGGACAGAGGAGGAAATATTCGCGTCACAGCTTCATTATTTGCGGTGTGTGGCTGGTCACCTAAGGCAGATGGTATAATTTCTGCACCCCGATGGGATGGCAAAAGCTTTAAACGCAAGATTAACGAGGATAGTAAATGGTGAAGAGCGAGTATTCTTGCTTTCACATGAAGGCACAGACACAGATCTTTGTACAAGGGGCAAATGTTCACTATTGCCCACTCCAAGCATTCAAAAGTCATGAACCAACCCCCCCCCAAATCATAATCGGCTTGAAATGGTGAGATTTTTTAATAATAATAATAAAGGTGGGGTTCTTCTTATTTGACTCTTGAGGTTTTTTTAGGTTGCAGCTGGGCCACATTTCGAAGCTTTTCTCTGCAGTGATGAAGGCTAGAAAGGTTTCTGTTGAGTTTCTCACCAAATTTCATGCCTCCAGGAGCTGGGGCTTTAAGAAAAACACCAAATATCATGAGAGTTGTGATAAGATCACACGAGTTGGCAACACAAACATTCCTGTGAACAAAAAAACAAACCTGTCGAACTGGCCAAAATCAGCACAGAGCAAATAAGAAGATACAAAAATAGTCAAACCAAACAGCCAACGAGAGTCTAAGTAAATGTTCACCCAACTGCTTTTGCAATGTTCAATCTGCTCTGGGCGGGATATTCTTTTGTATTGGGGGAGATGCAGTTCTCAAGCAGATGGGCTGTTGGTTTTATTATAGGTTGATTTATTACACCCCAATCGTGTGACATGTGGGCAGAAATCCAGAATTTCTAAATAAAACAATGCACGTGGCCAAATAACAAAGCCGCAGAATTAGATCATGCCCCAGCCCTCATGCTAACAATCCCCTCCTGGCTAACAAATCACTATCTCCATTAGCTGGCACCTGCCCCCTCCTGGCTAAAAATCCAGGCTTCACAGATACCTAAAATGTCACCAAATATGGGCTCTGACCAGCCACCGAAAGGAACAAATGCTGACGCTGATAGTTTGCCACCAAAAGCCCCGTCATGCCCACTGCAGAGTGCAACCCGAGTGGCAGACAACAAGAATGTTACAATCAATTGTAACTGCTGTAATGGAGCAAAGGGGGAGTGGAACAGGCCTCGGGATGCTGGGGCACATGCATGCATCCCTGTGCGCCTGTCCCTTTCAAACTGGGTGGTCACAGGGCACATGACTAGGAGCTAGTACATGAGCTACAAGAAGACAGATCTAAGGCTTCCTGACTCTTAAGCCAGGGCAGCACATGGGATTGATCGAGACTCAGGGAAACCTACAGTGAGAGGTCTCTGTAGTAGCCAGGAAAGGGCTACCTGGGAGGCAAAGATGTGCCTCCGCATCCCAGCTGGAGGAAGCAGGGAAGGCGTCCGTGACCGTGTATTTTGTGTTATATTGAGCCTCTCTTGCATCTTCTGCTTATTAATAAACCCACCCTGTGGAAAGGGACGTGGGCCTAACCTCGAGAGTTTCATTTGGAGTGACCTGGCTGCTGGGACTTCCCACTTGCCCAGAAATAAGGAGATCCCAGCCTGCAGAATAGTTTGTGTTACAGTTGCCCAAAGGATGTTGGCTGATCAGACGTGCTCTTCCAGCCTGGCAGATGCACGGTTCCATAGAGCTTAAGGCGAGATGGGATCGTTCCTGTCATCTAGTCTGATCTCCTGTATTGCACAGGCTGTAGAACTCCACCCTGTGGTTCCTGCTTCGAGCTCGGTGACTTGTGGTTGAGGTACGGCCTAGCTCTTGGAAAGGCATGAGGTGTTGATCTGTAAACTCCAAGCAATGGCGAATAAGCCTCACTGTTTAGAAAAATGTACTCCTTACTTCCATTTTGTCTGTTGTCAACTTCAGCTTCCGTCCACTGGATCTCGGGCTGCCTTTGTCTGCTAGATTAATGAACCGGTTTCTTTCCACTCTCAAAAGCTCTCGTAGCCGGCCACGAAAATCTCACCGCCACCGCCATCGCCACTACCACTCTCGCTCAGAGAGCACCGAGTCCCTCTCCTCTAGCTGCCAAAGCAGGTAATGGTGCCATTGCCGAGTTGATTTTCCTTTTGCCTAGCTTCAGAGCTAGCTCACGGGCTCAATGTAAACCACCGCCACGCACTGAGATGCTCTGTCTCCCTCTAGTGGTGGCTGGGTCACACAGAGAGGTGGTTGAGCCTGCTGCTATCTTGGGTTGGGTTGGGTATTTTTAGCTCAAGCAGTAGAGGCTCATGCTTTTAGATCTAGAGGTGCCAGGTTCAATCCCTGCTGCCGATGATCCTGCCAGGGAGGCAGCTTAACATCATCCTAGTTTCCCAGGGCGACAGTGACCTGAAGGCACATGACCAGCCCAAGGCCTATGCACCACTGAACTCCCACTTTTAAGCCCTTAAAATAGGTCTTGGTACATGAGTGACTCTCATACCCGGTGGATCTATTTGCCATTGTCACTAAACAGCTGCCCACTTTGATACGAGTCGCCATCTTTGTTTTGGGCATGGCAGAGAGGGTGGTGGGTTGCTGGGCAATGGAAGAGCTGCGTGAAGGGATCACGCTAGACCTGGCCCGGGTCACTCTGCCATTTACACAAATACTCAACTTTAAAAACAAAGAAGATACTTTAAGGAATTTGGTGGCAGCAGTTCGTGAAGCGTTGTTGATCGCTGGAGGAGGGAATGCAGTGTGAGGACAAGACAATCATGGAACACGTTAGAGCAGGCGGACAGGGCTGCATTCTCTCAGAGGCATGTCACCTCCGGGGTTATAAGCCCCCTCCAAATAGAGATGGAGACAAGCCACAAAAGTCAGATCCAGGTTTCATCTCCCACCCTAAAGCGCAGGGAGGTTTGGAAACAGAGTTTGCGTCCAAGTTGTTACCAAGTAAAACTTGGATCTGACTCCAGGTTTGGATGCTGAACCCCTCCAAAGTTCAGAGGTTTTGGATCAGGGTCCAAACTCATCACGAGGTGCCCAATTTCAAAACATTAAGAAAACTCAAATAGGAATAGGAGTCAGTATCCACCTTTTCTCTCAAATTCCGGCAGCCAGTCATAGCCTCGCCTGCCTCAAGGTAGCAATCAAAGGGTTGAAATTCACCTATGTGTAGTGGACCCATAATGACCCCTAGCTCTTACACAGCACCTCAGTCAGGAGATCTCAAAGCACTTTATGAAGGAAGTAAGCATCGTTATCCTCATTTTACAGATGGGGAAACTGAGGGCAGGGAAGTGACTTGCCCAAGGTCACCCAGCAGGCCAGTGGCTGAGCCGGAAATGGAATCCTTGTCTCCTGAGTCCTGCTCCCGTGCTGTATCCACTAGGCCACACAGCCTCCTGTAAGCCTGGTGCTGACTCTCTGCACAGGAGTTACTTTCACCCAACATGCGGAGCCAACAGATAGGGGGGCCACTCACACGTTCCCGGAATACTGGGCATCCCAGTGCTTCTAGGAATGGCGGGGGAAACCTTTTTAAGAGCGTGCTGCCCTGCCTCTAACCCCGCCGGCATCATCTCGCACACACGGTGCGTTCAAAGTCATGCCACACGGGCGGGGGAGTGCCATCTTGTAGTGCGCACAGCCCTGCTCCCCTGCCATGACCTTGCATGCACGATGCGTTCGAGGTCATGCCAGTGGGCGCAGAGTGGCGCACTCTTAAAGAGGTGTCCTCTGTCCAGTACCATGTCCGGGTTTGTCCCTGTATCGGACAGGGCACTAAAGCACACTACAAGAGAACTGTCCGGTTTATAGCCAGATGAATGGCTTCCTTACGCGGAAGATAGGACATTGTTGGCACTGCTGCAATACAAATCAATAATACTAATAATAATTCATCATGGTTTGATTTTACGTTTCTCTTTCTTCAGGCACAGAGCCAGGTCTCGGGAGGAAGGCCATAAAGCAAGACGAAGACGCTCCCAGCACTGTTCAAAGAGCACTGAGACGCGAAGCATGTCTGCAGAGGGTCAAGCCAGCCAAACCCTTCAGATCTACAGCTTCCTCTCGGCTAAGGAAGTAGTAAGTATTCTGCATTCTGCTTCCTTGTGCAGACTAGCCACAGAAACGTGGGGGGGAAATCCAGTATGAAATTTTTATAACTCAATTACAGTTATGTTAGACAAAGTTGGTTTAAAACTGTATTATTTATTGATGGTGCTGTTCTCCGACGTATTAAAAGTCATTCCTTTCCCTCAGCGCTTACACACTGGGGGTGGGGTAGGATAAGCCTTTAGTCTATGAATAATGAATAGGGGACATTTAACAAAAAAACCAGCCTCCAGCGATGGTATTTTACAGGGACGTGTTTGTTAGATGTGAACTTAAATTCGCTGGTCTTTGTGCCCAATGGTTTAGTCCTTGGGGGGGGGGAGGGGGGAGGATCAGGAGAATCAAACGTATATGAAAGAAACATTTACATTGAACGAATTGGGGATTTTTGGCAGGGGATGTTTGTTGACTTTCGGGATTCTTTTAAGCTCATCGCTCCTCTTTGCTGACCAACCGAAGGGCCAAAGTCTGAGCTTGTAGGCAGCTCCTCTTGATAGGAACGGGGGCTGTGTGTGCAGCCAAGGGTAGAGTCAGGCCCAATGTCTTGAGGTATCTTTTCATCTACATAGAGAGAGAGAATATAATCCATGTCCTAGAACCTGTCTTCATCTCGAGAGAGAGAGAAAGAGAGAACTACATAAGGACCTGATTCTCCACCACACTGCACCTTATACAGCACTGTGCAAAACAGGTATAAAGAGCTGTCAGATCGGGATGAACTCACTTCGCACAGAGAGAAACTACTACACAAGGTGCAACCCAGTGAAGAATTTGGCCTGCGTGTGTACAATATTAGGGATGGGTCTGAACCCCAGCACTAAGCCCTCCAAGCCACCATACTTGTAAATATTGTAGGCCTAATTCTCTCACTTATACAGCAGATGTAAATCAGGAATAACATGACTGGACTCATTAGCTACACTGATGTAAAACCAATATCAGTGAGAGGAGAATCTGCATGTGTGTGTGTGTTTATAGAGAGAGAGAGATGCATACAAATGTGCACACACCTGTGTGATACACACACACACACACACACACACACATGCAGAGAGAGAAATATTTCACAGAATGGTGAGCTGTGAAATTTTTATTGGCATGAAATTTCGGATGGCTGCATTACTGGTGAAACTGAAAGAGTTAATCGCTCATGCCAAAGGATGGCCAGTCAAACTGTTACATTGCATCACACCATTATGTTTTCTGTATAAGCCACTTATTTTACAGACAAACTCTTAAGAAATCTTTTAGAGAGTTTAAAAATGCCTTTAATTGGTACTATTTTTTCTAGTCCTCTGTCTCCGAAGCCAGGCTCTCTCATGAGACCAACTGCCACAAAGGATAATAACTACAACATTTTAGAAACCTCTAAAGACGATCTAAGATCGAGCATGGTGCATGCACTCTGCACTCCTTTTGCATAGATGTAAATGACCACACAAGGCAGATAAAAATCAGCCTTAGCGTGTTTATAGATATAGCTACAGGTTATGGGTAAGAAATATGTCATTGGGACATCTATATTCTTTCTACTTTAGCCTACTAACATGAGCAAATATTCTAATAACAAAAATCTATCCGTATATTTAGTAGGCAATGTCAGTGTTCTCCCTTGTCCCAAAGAAGAATACACACTCTCGGGCCATGATTCAGGAAAGCACTTAAAGCACCTGCTTAAAGTTAAGTACATGCTTCAGTATTGTCCTGAACAGGGACACTTTTCATGAATAAGGGCCTTGAATATCATGTAAAGAATAACTGACGATGGGAAGATGAATAAACATTAATCTCATGCTTTAGGAATGACCAGACACACCTATTTTGTGGGTTCACTCTGCCTTTTATGGATTAAGTGATCAGGTCTTTAACTAGGGCAGGATGAATATTTTTCCATTAAAACTCTTTTTGATGGAAATTTGGGTTTTTAACTAAATTAAAATTCGCATAAAATATATGTGCTTTCTGCAGAAAATTTTGACTATTTGTTGAAAAACTGGACATCTGAAAACCTAAGCTGAAAAACCAAAAAATTTCGATACAGCAATGCTACCATGGTCCTTCATGGGGGTTGTAGTTCCATTGATTCATACCACCCATTGTCCTCTGTGGGCTGGATTCCCTAGTCAGGCTATATCTCCCATGATGCACCATGGCAGCTCAGTCAGAGGAGAGATTATGATGCATGATGGGAGATGTAGTCTGACTAGGAAGCCGGGCCCATAATTGAGACTGCAAGCATGAGAGCTCAAACAGCAACTCCCATGAACCACTGCGGCAGCATTCGTGAATCTAAGTGTTTTGGTTTTGGCCGAAAGTTTTTTGGTTCCTCCCTTCCTTTTCTGTCACCTCCCCACCCCCCAAAAAGTTGAAACTTTCTTTGGAGGGGAGGGAGTGACATGAATTATCTTTTTCATTTTAATTGGTATTTTCCACAAAGAATAAAACAATTTTCTAACCAGCTCTATCTGTAAATCATTAGAAAAAACACATTGTGCTATCCATTGCATCTCTCTCTCTCTCTCTCTCTCTCACTTATATACACGTGGGTGCACACACGCACAGTAAGACAACCAATAATTTCATGCTTCTTTGCTTTTCTGTAATAAATTTCCTAGCCTCTTCCTCTATTTTCTCTCTGCTGAACAATTAATAACAAGCAGCCACAATGGAAACCCACTCAGAACAGGATTACATGGCTATCCCTCGGTGCACTGAGAAACTGAGGGTAATATGCAGGATCTATTTTTAAACAGAGAAATAACAAGCCCCCTAACCTGCTGTAGCTGTTTTACTCCACACTGATACAGATATATTTCATGCTGCTGTGCTTTTAGGAAGTCTTAGGTGAAATGAACAATATAAATACCCGTGGGATATGAATCTAATTGCCTTTGTTGTATCTGATGACGATGACTGCAGACTGTACACCAATACCTCTCTCCAGCGCCCTGACTTCCACTGACACTCCTTTTAGCAGCAGCTAAAACAAACATAGTCTTGAGCCAAATTTTTAGCAAGCCCATAGGCAGGTTTGGGGTACAGTTATTTCAAGCAGCGCTAATTATTTCTGTGCTAACATGAAGATGGAGGAGGGGAAATGCCAGCCAAGGCGAAGAGTGTCTCAGCATGAGCTGGGAAGGTTTCAGAAGCCTTGCAAGAGCGGTTGGTTTTGACTACATGTTATTCCATGTTTTCCAGCCCTTCTTTTGGTTTTAAATAGGGAAGGAGTTTCTTTTAACACCCCAGCGGCCTGTAAAGCAACAAACAGTCTCCTTAAAGTTCAAGGGTAAAAGAAGTTTAAAAAAAATCTTGGGTTATTTGTGTATCTAAATATGCAAATTCTGGTTTCTATTTTTTAATCCCAGTCTGAGACCTGCATTGTGCCCAAATCCCTGCACTGTTTGGGGCTGAAGTCGGGTGGAATAGTCTGACTGACCGGGGCTGGAGGAGTATGGGCATATTTGAGCCTGAGCGGAGAACACTGGCTGGAGTCCAGCAGCGGGTGGGCATGGGCTACAGCTCTGCCAGTGCACCTCACCCCTGGTCTGCAACACCCCCAGCTGTTCCCATTCAGAGCCTCCCCAGAGCATTTATTTCCAACCATGTAGGCTGATGTGATTTCGCAAGGCCAACAAACGTTCACTTTGGACTAGGCTGGAAACTCCCACTCCAGTGGCTGTCTGATGTAGGCCATACGGGAGCAAACAGCAATGCAGCGATAAACGCGCCTACTGTGATATCCCTCTGTTCCTGCATATGATAGGCGTCTGGCCTCATTTGAATAGACTCAGCCTAGCCTTTATTGTACCAAGGACCCAATCCTATGCTCTTTGTGCAGGCAAAGCTCTCCTCAAAATCACGGCGGATCCTTTCATTGAGTTTTGCTAGATTCAGGAATAGAGGGTTGGGCCCTTTGCGGTTGTATCTTAATTCCATGCACCGATATCTTTAGACAGAGCCATTCGCTTGAACGGGACTTAAACACAGATCCACAGCTGGGGTAAATCAGCAGCACTCCATTAAAGCCAAGGGACTCATGCCAGTTTACCCCAGCTAAGGGTCTGGCCCAGAAATCAGTAATACAGTATCTCCCTAAAACCTTGCTGAGTACATGGCCCCTTTCTCCCAAGTGACCCCTGTCAGCAGGTGGCACTTCCAATTCCAGAAGCTCATCAGCAATCTGTGCTGACTGTCTAACCTTGCTGCCATAATGAATAGCCAGACTCGATGGGGTCATTGACACACATGCTTTATTCCTTTCATTATTAGCGTGCCAAGAAGAAGAAGATTAGGCACTTCCTAAAAAAAGAAATTAACGCTACTTTGAAATGAGTTTACAAAAGACATAGACCCAGGAAAGAAATCCTCCAACTATAAGCCGTGCCATGCAGAGTTACTCATGGCAAGATCTCATTCCCCATATGGCTGAGAAAATGTATAGCCATATCTCTCCACGGGGCTATTTGAAGCACAGTAAATGGACTTGTTCGGTTTAATTGGAATACTCTTAGTGATTGTATTTTTGTAATCTGTTAGGCTGTGTGGCCTCTTGATGTAGCATTTCAGTAGAAATTAAATTCTGAAGTGTAAGCGAGGGCCTCTTTATTCCCTCCCCCCTTTCATTTTGATTAAATAATGATTTGAAACAGAAAAACAATAAATAAGTATGCGGGCTCCCTCAAGGGCAGCTATAGATTCCCCCAGCAAAAGCTAAGGGAAGCAAAGTCTCCTGAGGTTATTTAATTACTTCTTAGAAGTTGGGGAGGTGTGGGGAGGGGAATCCTAATGTTCACACAGAGCAAATTAAGGCCATAAAAGACTAGGCACTTTAAAACATGCCCTCCCCCCCCCCCACCCCCAAATAAAAGATCATTAGAATTCACTTGAACTCTGTACAGTGTTTCAAAGATGGTGTTTGGTATAGTTCGTATGGCTGATGCTTCTTCATACGCAACAAAAGGAGGGAGAGTAGGGGTGATCAGTGGTGAATTTCACCTCAGAGCAGAGGGCAGCAAAAGGACTGTTCACCACGTATCACCCCTCGTAAGTCCAATTTTGAGGGCTGAAGTGATGCAGATGCTGGTCCTTTGGTGCAGGGTTGAATTTTATGCCAGCTGTCTAAGAAATAGTGGAAGTCCTTCCAATTAGTTACATCCTGGTTGTCACTAATGTTGGGGGAGGGGGGAATAGACAGCTATTCTCCTCTCCCTGACTACCTGCTATTACACCAGGCCAGGCCCTCTGGCCTTGAGATGTGAAATATGCAGCACCGGGCATGTGTTTCCTGGTGTTTCCTCTTACCTCCGTATTGCTGGTACAGGTACTAGGTAACTCAATGGATGGCTGAGCTGGGTATAGCATGCAAGTCCCAGGCACTTATGAAGTGTCAACAGCATCTCTAGCACAAGAGATCATACGGCCAAATCCCGAGGTCTTTACTCAGGCAAAACTCCCCATGGAGTCAAAACTGAGCAAGGACCATGGGATATGGCTCGCTGAAGGCTGGGTGTCAGGGGTGCAATGATTGTGTCATCACCTCTGGAAATGTTATTGGCCATTTGAATAGGGCAAGGAGGAGGAATTGGACAGGGAGAAAGGAAAGGTCAAAGGGGAGAGAATCTGGATCCCATATCTCTTCTCAATGTGGACATAACGTTTCAAGAGTTAACTTAATTTTTAAAATGTTGACACAAGGAATGGAATTTGCAAGGGGAAGAGGAGAAGCTTTAGCAAAACTTTTTAGCACATGCTTAAAGTTAAGCATATGTTTAAGTCCAGTTGACTTCAGTGTGGCTTGATTACCTTCTTAAGTGCTGTGCTGAATTGAGGCCTAAAGGAGGAATGTGTTGACTCTCAAATTATTAAATGACCTTGCAGTATACCGAGAACAATGACCACTTCCAAGCCAGACTTTAGCAAAGCTGAAACAAAAGCAAGTATCCCAGTTCTTACAGGCATCCTAAGGGGGCTACTTTGGAAATGCTGGGAGCAAACAAAGAAACATTGAATGGGTTTCCTGGCAGAGAGAAGAAAGATCTTTAATTTTTAGGACATTGATGGGGTGAGGGGAAGGACAGACATTTGTACCTGCAGAATCGGCCAGCATCCTTCAAAATGAATGCTGGAAGAGTCCAAACCCAAGATATTCTGACACTTCACAATTTATCCAAAGATTCCTTACCCGTGTATTCATAGAATAGCTTGAATTTTATTTTCATGAACCTTTGCTTTAAATTAAAAATAAATATAGGGGCTGGGGTGTCAAAAGCCAGACAAATCTAAACCTAGGTTCAGATCCATTCTTAAAACAAATCTGGCAGCATATTCCAATCTATATTCCAGATCCCTACAATGAATGATCTCAACTAGCTTCCCCATGTCTTGAGGTAGGAAATGGGCGAGAAGGAAAATCATTGTGTTTTTTGCCAACAACTAACATAGTGGAGCTTCAATTCTCACAGGGTTTTTAGGCCCTATGTCTGTGCTTTCCAATTAGCCTAAGGGTTGATGCCAATTCAGTGGGAACTGGACACGACTCCGCTGAAAATCCCAACCTGCGTTAATATGAACAGTAAATAATGATCATGTGATATAGTTTGGGGACCAACAGCTAAGTTATTTTCACACACAATATTTGGGGGCCAATGGGTTCCTTTTCCAACCCATGAATTGCTTGTGTATTCTGGGCCTGGCTGCTCCCACTGGAGTCAGTGGTGAAGTCTCCTATAGAGCATCTGGGTTCATCACTAATTCTGGGGAAATCCTCTGATGGAAGATGGGAGCATTTCTTTGCTGGGAAATTTCTGTTCTGTGTAAAATGTTTTCTGTGTTCCAACCAGCTCTACTCAAAAGGTATGTGTGGGTCTGAGAAAAGGCATCACATTGACTCCCTTGTTTTTGGACCACCATTGCCCCAAAGCACGGCACCCCAAGTATGGAGAGTGTGGTGCAGTAGCTAAAGCATTGGACAGTGACTTGAGAGATTTGGCTTCTGTCCCCAGCTCTGCCACTAATCTTGTGCAAGTCATTTCCCCTTTCTGTATCTCAATATCCCATCCTGTTCAATGGGGTTGGTGATACCTCCCTTAGAAGTGTGATTGGGAGTTTTCGTTCCTTAATATTTGTATCCTGCTTGGAGATCCTCCACTTCAAGGCACTATCGGAGAGCAAAGTGATCATGGCAAGGCTTGGATCATCAGCCTGTGCCATGTTTCGACAGCTTTTCCTTTGCAGTAACTGCACTTTTGCTTTAGTGGTCAGTGATTTTCGCCTACTATTGTTGCAATGCCGATTTGCCCCTGCCGCCGAATCAGATCCTACCACCCTATTTAGCAACTCTTGGATTAGACTAAGAGAACAACCCGCTGTGACGGGAACTAGATGATGCGAACAAGTAGGCCTTCTGAGACGGCCCCGTCTGACTGGCTGCAGAAAGTGTTATGGGACACTCAGTGTGAACTGTGACCTCTGGCGGATCCGTGTTTGTTCTGACCCCAGTGGGGAGTCGTACCGAGGCAACGTGCCTCTGTTCCACTGGACCTGCAGCCCAGGTTCAAAGCACACAGCCTTAGAGCATTGTGATGTGCCTTTGTGAGGGGAATAGTCAGGAGTCATGAATGACGCCCGTGTCTTTGAAAGCTACCTTGCACAGGAGCATTTCCTGCCCTGGTCGCATTAGTGTTCTTCAGCATTAAGCTTGCATCGCTCCCCTCTGCACAAAGCAATGAGGGACGGTATTTTATGTATCAGCCAAATAGAGGTGCATGTTGTAAAAACTGAGGGCCAGATCCTCGGGTGGAGGGGGTGTGAATCAGCCCAGCTCTGGAGCAACACTGATTGACACCAGTTGAGGATTTGGCCCTGGAGCTGTAGTTCCCAACATCATTTGTAATAAACCAATATATATTGAAGATGTTTAGTCTAAATACACTAAGGGCCCTGATCATGCAGCCCAGTTGCATTCGGTTGGTTACTGCCATGAGTCAGGGCTACTCATCTGAGTCTACATTGCAGGACGAGGCCCCATGTTGTTATTTATTAAATTAGATCCCACCAAAGACCCTCTGAGATCCTCTTATAAGCAACAGCACATTTATTACACTGTCCTTGGACCACACCCGCCACCAATCTGACTACTGGTTGGGAACATGGCCCAGCTCCCACTGATGCCACTGGCAGGACTTCCACTGAATTCAGTAGGGTTGCCAATTTTGTTTGGGTATATCCCTGGAGGTTTCATCACTTGACATAATCTTTAATTAAAGATTAATCTTTAATTCCTGGAGACTACAGGTCAACCCTAGAATTCAGTGGGACTTGGATCAAGTCCTTATAGAGATTTTCAGGGTTCCATCTGACAGCCATCGAATTTTGGCCCTGACCCTGCAATCAGACCCATGCATGTGGACCTGGGCCCCGCAAAGACCCCACTGATGTCATCGGGATCCTGCACAGGTGCGGAGGTCTGCCAGCATGCAGGCCCACTGAAATCAGTGGGGCTGCCTGTGGCCTTAGGGCTTTCTCCATACAGATCAGATTGCAGGATCAAAGTCTTTGTTTTCCCCCCAACCTTTCTCTAACACACCGCAGGGGAAATATTTTTCCTTCCTGTTTTTAATTTTTCTCAATTTTATTTTGTTTTTTGAACTTCAATGTATCTGTGGGCCAGCATGAAATCAATGGGGATTTATTCAAATCAGTGGCTTTTCATCCCAAATAATCAACCTAGAGGAATTTACTAAACAACATGATTAAAAACAAAACAAAAAAGTCTTGAAATTTAAATAGAAAAGAATCAAACAATTGACGGTGAGGATTTGAAGAGAGGGTTTATGTTTTTTCTTGTAATTTGAGACTCTAATGATGGACTTACGTTGCCCGCTCTTCCCTTTTTCTTACACCTTACCTACTAAAGGAGGAATTCTTGATTGGTAAGTGGATGCTATCCGCAAGACACTAGGGAATTTATTAGAGGTCACTCGAGAGCATTAGCTATACCTTCTACAGGGGGAAAAAAAGCACACAAAGAAATATCTGTATTCCTTTTATTTCCAGAGGGATTTTAATTTTTCTGGGTTTTTTTTTTTTTTTTTTTCCCACCCCACACCCCACTTTTTTTCTTTTTTGAGTTTCAAAGTGCTAACTTGTTTGTTTGCCAATTTTTCCTTTGTACATAAAGACCTTTTTTGTGACATTTGAGTCTCCTTATTAAGGAAACTAAAACAAAAAGTCGATCATTTAGAATTTTGTTCCATTTTTGTTTTATTTCCGATGAGTATGTAGTTTTTTGTATGTATATTCCTATTTCTTTCCCCTACCCCACCTTTTAGGTTAAAAAAGGGTTGTTAGTTTTTTAATATATTTTTTTCTCTTTGATTTTTTATTTATTTATTTATTCTTTTGTTTCCCTTTTTTTTAAAAAAAAAAAATCTTTTGTTCAACATGGATCGCATGCTAATACTCTTTGCATGATGTCTAAATCTTCCAGTTATCATGTCAGGGGGAAAAGAAGTTTCTTCTTTCTGTGGTTTTTTTCAGGGATATGTACTTTTGTTTTTTGGCTTCTCTTCTTTCTTTCTTTCTTTGTTTCTTTCTTTCCTTTTGTTACAGTGCATCATGATGGTAAAATTTCTTGGTTTATTTAAAAAAAAAAAAGTCAGACAATCTAAAACAAAACAAAACAAAAAAGTTCAAACAATGTCAAACGGCTTTTTTGCTTTCAGATCTCTCAGTCGGGGTCATCTGCTGACCTCTTTACCAAAACAGACAGCCCGCTTGGCAACCTAGCCAGTCGGAATGGAGGGGCCCATGAATCTGACTCAGGAAACGATACTTCTTCCCCTCCCTCCACTCAGACGAACTCAGCCAGGCCAAAGGACAGCCAGGAGAAGAGAAGCCGAGCCCACAATGGCTTTGGCCGGGCCTTCTCACCTGGGAAGCCCAAATTGGCCAACAGCGATAACAGCTCTGATTCGGGAAATTCCTTCACCAGTTGTTTTTCCCAGAGCAAGGGAACAACTTTGGAAAATCTCTCTCCGGATGCCCAGGGACAGGACCAAAGGTCAGTGATTGCCAATAGTCGGTGTTTGCTAGGTCTGTTCCTGGAATGACTCCGTGTCTTCTGCTCGCTTGACTGCTGCGGGTGGTGAGCCAATAGGAATGTATTTCTGTTTCTTATGTGGCTAGCCATAATTCAGGTCCAGCAAGTCTGGCATCCCAACTCCAATAGTGGCTTCAAAGGAAAGTGGAAAACAACCCATAATGCACCTGGGCAATGGTGCCGTGTGTGTGGAATTCCTTCCTGACCCCTGTGGCACTTAGTTTATGCCATGAAGGATGAGATTTGATTATGCTAACTTTAACCCATTAAATCTTCTCCTCATCCCTTAGCCTCCGTGGGCACCAGCCCCAGCCCCTCCCCCCCAAGGCCATTCAGAAGAGGTTCCGCTAGGATCCAGATACAGGCATGAATCAAAGACCTAGATCCAAACACTGGGGCATTCATAATCTGCATCTAGATGTGGCTTGAGCTCCTCTCTCATTGACTTGTTGTGACCTTGTAGCAAAAGAGCAGGAAAGGTCACTAGCACATTTAGGCAAACTTCTAAAGGCTGGATGGAATGGTTACAGACTGCCCTGTCTCTTCTGTAGCTATTCATGTTCAGTAAGCAGAGCTATATGCATTGAAATTAAAGCTTTCCAATCATCTCGCTCCTCTGGCCTGGTTCACTCGGCCAAATGCCTGCATAGCTACCTCAGGCCTAAGACGCAGCAGAAATGCTGTGTTTCCTCCATGTGGGGAGCGCTAAGCAGTGACCAATCCGTGAAGGACGAGCCCTGTGCGTCACTTGCATGCCGCAGAGCAACAGTGACTCCCTGCACGGGGCCACAGAGGGGAGCACTGGGGCAATGGCAAGTGAGGCTGTGCTCACCACAGTTGCACGAGGCCCGTGGAGAGGTGGGTGGCAGCATCAGTAGCTCCCCTGTTCCCTGCAGGAGCTGCCATTGTCCAGTGGGCACCTTGGGACAGAAGAGTCTTCCCCTTGGTCCCTCACGTGCACATGAGCTCGTTCTCTGCTGTCCGGACTTTGCCCCCTAATGATGAGGGTTAGTGTCACAATCAGCGCCTGGCAGCTGCCCGGGCTGGAGCCGGGAAGGAGGCCAGTGCCCATGAAGGAGACAGCATCCCAGCTCCCCTTCCACACACGCATTTCCTACTTGTCTTCTCCAGCTGACTGACTGCCGTGAGGGGTGCAGGAAACGGGTCATGGAGCTTTGCAGGCAACTGCCGGGAGGGTTTGGCCGCCAGCGCATCCATTTCACGTGCAATGCTCTGTTTGTGAACAAATGCTGAGGGCCCAATGAAGAGAGCTCGACTTTGTGCTCCGATCTGGGCAAATCAGGGCTAGCTCCAGTGGAGTTACGCCAGCATAAAACTGGTAACATTGATAATAGGAGGCTCAGGCCTCAATGTTTTACCCTAAAGACGCTATCCTGTGCTCGGTTCCATGGGTGCAGCTCCCATTGACATGGGTGGGGCTTGCATCCATTTAGCTGAAAGCAGAATTTGGCACTTAGGGTCAAATCCTGCTCTCTCATCAGTGTAAGGCTGGAGTCAGGGGTGTCCCTCCAGATTTACCCAGGTGTAACCTGGCACTGAAATCTGATCTTCTGATAGAGCCTGATTCACCATTGTGCCCACTCCAGTTTCATGCCGCCATCACTGTTGAACCCAATGGATTTAATAGGAGGGTGGAACCTGCATTGATTCAGGCCCTGTAAGCAAAACCCAGTAGTACGCTCTGAGGCAGGGCTCTCTGCTTTACAACAACTTCACCGGGTGGGGAAATGTCCATTTGCAGAAGTTTCCTGTCCCCGTGTCTCGCCTGCTCGGAGGTGAAGAAGCAGAGCCCCCTGCATTCCCCAGAGCGCAGCTCCCCACTGAGACCGTGCTCCCGCAGCGGGTCGTACACCAGCACAGGGCGGTCCTCCCGTGGCTCCAGTCGCTCCGCCCACTCCCGCTCATTGCATCACCAGGCCACGCCCAGGTACTCCCGAAGCAGATCCTGCTCCTCAGGGAAAAGGTGAGGCCAAGTCGTGTGGCTGTCTGTGTTATCGCTTGTGGCTGTGCTTGGTAGTCCCAGGAATAGGCCAAAGAGCCTTGGAATTACAGCTTGGATTATGCTGAAATGACTACGGGTACTGACAGTACCGCCGATGTTGCCTCTGAAAGGCAGTGGAATTCCTGTTGGTGCGAGGCGATCTACAGGGCTGGTTCCCTTACAGGATGAATGAACATTTATCAGCGGCTGGGCTGACATCATTAAACTTGGGACCTTGTTGCCACTTGAATCCAGATTTGGAAAAGGAGCCTTGTGCACCTTAAATCCTCTCACTTTAGCTCTGGTTTGATTCACCTTTCGATGGTTCTTGTCTATTCTCAGGTCCTATTCATGTTCCCCTAGCTACTCATCCAAGTCCTGCAAAAGAAGCCCTGGAAGCAGGAACTCCAGACCGCGTCGGAGCCCCAGTTATTCCCGCTACAGCCCCAGCAGGTACTACTGTCCCCAGTGTGTCGTGGTGCCCTTGCACGGCATCGCCCGCTTTTGTGGCACCTCAGTTGGGGTTTGTGAATGTGTGACTCCCCTCCGCAAGCTTCTCTGCTGCACTTGCGTGGCACTGGCCCAACCTTTCCATGAAGTTGCGTGTGAGAGCACCTGAGACACTGGGGGTCTGACTGTCTCTCGTATTTACCAGCCCCTGAATGCAAACTTGGAGCGAGGCATGTTTGGGTCTGCACGCTCCAGCTCTCATGGTTTAGGGCAGATCTCCATACGTGTTGCCAGCTGCTTTTGCTGACGCTGATTCCTTAGAGAGGAGCTGAAGGTGGCAAGACTCGGGCTCATCCCGATGTGGATTTCTGCAGCCGCGGCCTTCCCTCTAGACTGCCCTCCGTTCCTTGGTTCACCCTGGGAACAGACAGTGGAAAGGTCCCCGTTAAGCAGCTGTTGTAGGGGGTGATAGGGCGAGAGAGGCTACTTATTCAGGGCTTTGAGGGACAAACCCCTTGTGAAATGTATGTGGAATTGGATGGGTAAGGCCTGGTGAGATGTGCTGTCTTCACTCTGAACCCTTTCAGAAACAGAGTGCTAATTGGTCCCTCACCCCAGACACAAAGGGCCGGGCACTCCACTCTTGGAGGGCTTGAGCCATTGTCAGAGAAGGATTTTTCTTGAAGCAGGAAAACACAACATCTCCAATTTGCAGCATTTAGCAGCTGGGATTTTGAAGGGAACGCTGGGGCTCATTGACATGCCCCTCAGTGTGGGGCGCATACATTGTCCGACTTGGTAACGTGCCCTATTTAGAGAACAAGCCAGCAGCAGCGCCAACAGCCACGCCGAGAGCCGTCTGCTCAGCCCCATTGTGGTTCTCTATGGCCCAGTGCGTCGTGTGTGTTCTCCTGGGCAATATACTATAGGAATCAGCGGTGGCTTTCTTACAAAAAGACCTGTTGCCATTTAAGCCTGTTGCTCACTTCTACTCTGTGTTCCCATATTTCAGGCAGTGTAAGGTTAGACTGGCTTAAAACAAGCTCTCCCTGATCATGTGAAAGGTTGCACGTTGCTTCAGTGAATAAAGGTGCTCTTAGCCATGGGCCTTCCTGGCCAAAATAACCTAGCAGAGAGCCACAGCAGCAGGTTGGCATTGGTCTAAAGGACTTATTCACGACCCACGCCAGGAATACAGAAGCAGGATTGTCCATGGGTAAGATAAAGGCGATCATCCAGATTCAGCACGGGGGGTCAGTGCAGTTACCACAGGGAAGTGCTGATCCAGTACTTAAAATGTTTACTAGTGTTTTTCATCCCTCAGGGTCTCAGTGCCTTACTATTTATGTAGATGTAAATTGCTCCATTGAAATGCAGCCAGCTCTGGGGTGGAAGGTGGCAGCTAAAGCACCGCAATGGGCATAGTGGAAATTTAGGGTAAGGACACTAGGACAAACCCCTGCTCTCACAATGAGTGCCATACACTCTCTACCTGCCAGGCAGAGCAGACAGTAACTCAGCTCTCAAGGTCATGCCGCAAACGCCATGGAATTCAAGCTGGATGAAACCCGGGGTTGTTTTTTCAGGGCTTCAGGGTATTCTGGGAACAATTTCCTCAACTTCACTGTATGTGGGTTCATACCCCAAGCTTTATTTTGTGCTTCTGGGGGGAATGTGTTCTCTCCCTCCATCCATAGAGTCACCAATCCCTGTCAGGCAGAGTGACCTTTGTTTTGTAGCAAGAAAAGGTCAAGGCAAGAAAGAACAAAAGTCAGGTCTCTATGAGAGAGAGCACTGTGGGTGTCTCCTGTGTAGCAGGCTACCTCTGAGCACTAAATGGCAGCTGCCTCTGTAGCAGGGATGGGGTCTTTATCACCATTTAAAGGTGTGGGACCCAGAAAACAAGTCGGACCGATGTCCCAGAGTTCATCCAGTTGTGCCAAGTGAAACTCAGGGAGGCTGCCCAGTTCCATCCTGTTGTATCATCAAAACACAGATTGTACAGGAAGGCCCTAAACAGGCTCATATTGGGCTTGGGGTTGTGACCTATTGACGAGGCCTGCCCAGTGTTTGGCATGAGCCATGAAACCTTAACCCAGGCATGCAGGGCTTGTGTCAGTTCGATGGGGAACTTGGAGCCAGCCTGGCCAGGATTTGAACCGGGCGGGGGGGGGACAGATGTTTCAAACCGGTTGTTTAGCCACATAACGACGTCTCAGTAGGAAATCAGGATAACTCTGGTGCCCCAGGCCTAGATTCGCTGCTGGCTCCTGAGAGATGCAACACAGAGGGGCCAGCCCGGGAGGAGGGAGCAGGCCCCACTCCGGGCTGCTGCAGGGGACGAAATGGCCCCTAATGGAAGGTGGAGCAGCCTCAATTTACTGCAGCTTGACCCGGGCTGCCTGTCGGCTGCTGCATAGGTGCTGGCACTAAGGCTGCGGGGGGCACTGCAGCACCCCCAGGTTTTACGTGGGGCTCCACTCCGGCCCTGCGCCCGGGGGTCCCGGCTGGGCCCCACGCCTGAGGCTCCACACCTGCCCCCAACTGTGGCCGCAGCCTCGGCCCCCTTACCTCTGTCCGTGTTCCCGTCTCCCGGAGCCACGGCCCTGCTCCCGGCCCCAGGTCTAGCGGACAGGGGCAAGGGGGGCACAGCACCCGCACTCTAAAAAGTGTTCAGCACCACTGGGCTGCTCTGCAGCTTGAGATCATGTGCAGAGCTAAGCGCTGTGACTGTGTATGCGCCACATCCAGGGCCTCCCCTGATCCTTGGCAGCCTCCATTCACTACCCCGAGTGGCATCCCAGAGCCAGCACAGCGGCCACCGTCTGTCCCCTGGTCCATTTCCTCCCACCCCAAGCTTCCGTTTCCTATGGTAAGGCCAGATATTTTCATTGCTGACAAAAGCGCAGCAAATTTGCAGGGTGATGGCAAATAAAGCAGATTAACACCTGCCTGGAAACCAAGGCAGCCCTGTCCTGTTAATGTAGACGACTGCTCTTAACCGATGGGTGTCTTGTACCTGCCAGATACCCTGAGATTTTTGTGCTTTGAACACCTAGCAAAACACACTCGGAACCTAGACACAGTCTGATCTGCTAAATGTTTTCAAACCAGGGCTTTGGAGCGGAGCTGAAGGGCGGAGCAGTGGAGCTGCAGGTTTTTGCCTGGAGCTTGCTCCGGAGCCAGAGCACAGCTCCAAAGCCCTGTTTCAAACCTTTGCTAACAGGTTCTAATATCCACAGCAATCAGGGAGCTCATCAGAACCATTCTGCATGTTTAGAAAGTCATTGTGTTCTCTGGGCCCAATTGAGCAGTGCAGTGCAGAGCAAAGGGGCCCGAATGTAAATGAGAATCAGGGCCTCAATATTTAACTCATCACTTTGCAAAGTGTTTCAAATGTGGAAAGCAATATGTGAAACCAGGTCAACTCCATTCCCCACCGCCCCTTCCAGCGCAGCAGGTGGGACTTCAGGGCGGGTCAAGAGACTTTTCCAAGACCCTGTAGCAGCACCAGGCTGAGAGCTGCTGTGTTCATTCTGGACGGCTGAGGCTCTGCAGAACAGACGTGCCCCACAGAAATAGCACATGCCTGCTGCCAACGGCCAAGTCTCACATTGCTGCATCCAGACTGGCTAAATCTGGGAACTGTGTGCACATCTAGCCAACTGTGCATGCTGTTAAAAAGCACTCCCCAGCCCGTGCTTAGCGAGTGTCTGCATAACACGCTGGCTAAATGTCTTGTGCCTCCATCTATCAGTCAGGCCATTTGGAGGATGCTGGCAGGGTTAGTTTTTAGCTCAAATGATCAAGGCCTGTACTTTGGCGCTGACGTTTCCAGGTTCTAGCCCCACTGCTGAGCCCCTGCCTACCTCCCCCAATGAGTCGTTGCATCAGCACGGGGATCTTGGCAGTGATCTTTCCCAAACTGGCCATTCCCCAGGGACCGTGCGAGAGAGCACACGTACGGCTCCAGCGAGAAGGAGTCCCAGCGGGAGCGGAACAGGCGGCGGCGGAGGTCCTACTCGCCCATGAGGAAACGCAGGAGAGATTCTCCCAGCCACCTGGAAGCTCGCCGCATCACGAGGTAAGGGACAGACACCCCCCAGCCCTCCAGGAGACACACTGGGGAGCCACAGGCTCGGTTCTGACGTGCTGCCAAGGTGTGTGGATAGCTTTAGTAGGGGCCTGCTTTGAGTCCGTCACGCCCAGAGACGCTGCCCTCCAAGCACTCGAGGAGGGGAAGCATTGCCCTGAAGTTTCCCTCCCTGCCTCCCACTGAGCCCCAGGGCCAGGAGCTCCCCCCCACACCCCCCCCCCCCCCCCCCCCCCCCGGGGTCCCATTGTGTCACCAGTAACCACTCTTCCCCCTTTGTCCCCACAGTGCCCGGAAACGCCCCATCCCATACTACAGGCCCAGTCCTTCCTCCTCCAGCAGCGTCAGCAGCTGTTCCTCCTGGTACAGCAGCGTTAGCCGCTCTCCCGGCCGCAGCCGCAGCTACTCCAGCTACAGGAGCAGCCGGAGCAGAAGCTGGAGCAGCAGCAGCGACAGCGGCCGGAGCCGGAGCCGGAGTTCGGGCCCAAGGAGCAGCCGCAGCAGGAGCAAGAGTTACGACTCTGCGGACAGCTATGCCAGCCTGCGGCGCTAGGGCGTCCCCCTCCCGGCCACGTGCGTCGGGGTTGTCTCTTTCAAGTCCTCTCTCCTCCAGCCTCCCCGGTGATAGCTTATTATTTCATGTTTCTATTGTGGCATCCACCAGCGCCAGTTGTGCTGGGCACTGCACACGTAGAGGCAGACACAGAGAACACGGGGGCAGAGAGGGAGGGTCCGTGCTTTGCAGCAGCTGTGTTGATTATAAACCAGCCTCCCCCACCCATTCCTTGCCTATCTCCAGGGAAGCATTTCCCAGCGGCTAATCCAGGGAGTGAGTTTAGCTCTTGGCTTTTCCTTGGCCAGAAGGCAGCAAGCACCGATTCTTTGGTGGGGGGAGAGAGAAATCATTTAAAAGAAACTCTCTTCAAGGCTTTTGGGCCAGGCAGAAAGAATCCAGGTCTGGCCCTGCTTCTATTGAGGTCAATGGCAAAGCTTCTGTTGACTCCAGCGTGGAGCCCCACAAGCACTGCAGTGTGGCCTCTCCCCTACAAAGAGAAAAACCAGAGGTTTCTGCAGGATCGATTCACCTTCGCTGGAGGTGGCTTTCCCCCTGTGCCCCTTCCCCGGGGAAGAATATTCAGTCCCCAGGGGTCAGCCAATTCCTGCTGTGAATGTGAAGAAAGAAATTCGACGGGGGCGTGGATTGTTTGGAAGGGGCCATTCCCTCGCCCCGCCCCCATTTTTATAGCCCAACTTTGCTTCTCTTCCCCCCAGCAATATGACCCGCTGGTGAGACGATAAGTGGAAGTGGGAACAATCGAGGGTTGGGGGCTGGGAGGCCAGGCCAACAATCAGGAAATGCAAGGGAGCAAAGTCTTGTCGCTGCGGCTCCTGTGAGCCCTCAGCCCCAGAGCTCTCCAGGGCTGCTGCAGGTGGCTGGTTTTATCACAGGAGCTCTGTGCTGGGCAATGGAATTCCCCTGCAGGGCAGGTGGGAGTGTAAGTTCCAGGTCCTTTTGGGTACCGGGTCACATGGGCATGGGGAATTCCAATGAAACGTATTCGTATGTAGCCCCCAGGAGCTCCAGTCATGGGCCCCATTGCGCCAGGCGCTGTACAAACACAGGAGGAAGGTCCCTGTCTGAAAGAGCTTACAGTTTGTGACCTCAACCCCTCCAGCCTTCCCTGCTCCCCCAAAGGCCAGCTCCCATGTAATACAATGCCTGGCCCAGAGCTGCTGAAAGTGCAGAAGCCTCAACTAGCAAGACTATTTATTTATCAGCAGAAAGGAGGGGGATCCCCCAGCAGCAGAGACCAGCTCCATGGTTAAGGAAAGAAGAAAGCCCATCCTCTGTACTGACTGGGCAGGTTCCTACCATGCTCCCTGCTGCTGCTACTTAGTGACTAGTGGCTAATCAGATCAGGGCTAGGTGCTGTACCATCATACAGGAAACGACAGTCCCTGCCCCAAAGATCTTGCAGTCTAAGCCATAACAGGTGGATGAGCCAAGCAAGCAGGCTGGTATGGTGGGGCGGGGTGAGAGGGCGAAAGGGATGGGGTAACACACATAAGATGTGCACAATGAGTAGCAGCAATTGCAGGTGGCAAGCTGCAAGGGGAAATGGGCTGACAGGCCCGAAGTATCAGGGAATGACAGACCAGGGAAGAGTTCCAGCTGCTTGGCTAGCCTGAGGAACTCTCCTGGCATCACCTGGGAGAGCAGCCGGGGGCTGATAGCCGGTTTATCTACACACCACCAACCCAGAGCAGAGACTAACAGCCCCCTGCCCCACAGGTGTCTGGTGTTGGCGCGACAGCCCTAGTGCAGGAGACAGGGCTGCCCGGGGGGGGGGGCAAGTGGGGCAATTGGCCTCAGGCCACACAGGGGCCCCCACGAGAATATAGTATTCTATAGTATTGCAACTTTTTTTTATGGAAGGGGCCCCCAAAATTGCTTTGCCCCAGGCCCCCTGAATCCTCTGGGCAGCCCTGGCAGGAGAGGGGTCGTTTGTGGGATGGGGCAGCAGAGCACTGCTGCTGGTTTAGGGTCCCGGCTGGGCCTTTGTTTTCCCTGGTGCTTTAAACAGCCAGTTGCTAGGGGATAACCACTCTTCACAAAGCAGAGAGCGCAGGGTTAAAAACGGGCGAGCGACTGGGAACAAAATAACTAATCAATCCTCAACTGTCGTCCTGGAGACAGCTGAGAATAATGGCTGCCCTGCCCCTAGATTCCTTACTCGGAGCTCGACCCTGCAGACACTTGTTGGAAATTCCTCTGGGAGATGTACAGTGACAGGCACAGCGACCCACGGCTGAGCGTGCTGGCCTCCCGGCCCTCCCTCCCCAGACACCCCCCCCCATACATTGTAAGCAGGGGCACCGGGCCTCTAGGAATTGTTCCTCCTGCAGAATCACGGGAGCCCTTTGAAGAAAGAATTAGCAGCCGCCGCACTTTTGCCCAAACGCAAGGCAGCGGAACGTTTTCTGTGCCATGCATTAGACGCCGCTCTAAGGAATTTGGTTCCAGTTCCAAGCAGAGGGTTACAACTTGCGTCCGGGGCTTGCATCCAAAGTAACCTTTCCCTGCCCTTTGCAGCAGTGCAGGAGGCAATGCAGCTCCATTTTACACACACACACCCCGTAGATCTCTGAAGCAGCTGCTGTATGGAGCACTTTACTTGCTGGTCTAGTCAGACAACTACTCAGGTGGAGAGGTGGCGGGAGTGAGGAGGAAGAAGCAGGATCTAGGAAAGGGGGTGTACCCATCAATTGCCCATTTCCTGACCAGCCCCCGTCGCTTTTTGGGGAGAGCAGTGGTCATCCTTCCAGACTGTGTGCCAGGCCTGCCTTCGTTTTCCCTTTGCAATGATTGCCAGCCCAGCCCGCTGTGCAATTACTGTGATTTGCTGCCTAACAAAGGCCTCTCACAGGTGCAGGCTCAATTGGCATTGGAGAGTTTCTTTTTCTTGCAACAGCTGGGTGCTTAGAGCAGCTAATTTGGGATTAAGACGTTCGTTTCCCCCTCCTTCCCTCCCCTCTCCCCCAGCCCGCACAACTATTATCCCATTAATGACACAAGGACGTAGGGCCTCAAGTGTTCCGAGGGGCCGAGCAGAAAGTTGATCTGCCCCCATTGAGGAGGAGACGAAAGACTGAACGTGTAAAGAGACACACGTCTACTGGTTGAAGAGCCACCTGCCCCCCTGAATCACGGAGACTTAAAGTGAACAGGCAAAGGCGTGACCTGAACGGGAGGTGTTTGTGTGCAGTAAATAGGGAGAGAGATGTGGCTCACAGCTATTAGCAGCTGTTATTTCCAGTGGTCCAGGAAGAGGTGTGCAACCATTCACAGAACGGAGGCCATCGAAGGATTCCTATATTGCACTACTGCCGTGTCGCAAAAGTGGTTTTCTTGGCAATGCTCCTCCACGGGCCAGACCCCGGCTTAGGAGAGGTTCAATTCTGTGTGCTCCATGGGGTGACATGTCATTGCTCATAGTAGTTCAGGAAAAGGGTCTAGACGATTCCCACTTTCCAACCCCTATAGAAAATAGAAAACTGGGATTCCGGCCAGTGCGGCACCTACAGATTTCCCAAAGTCATGGCTGGGGGTTAAATGCCACCCACCCCCTCTGTCTGTCTGAGTGTTTACGTGGTGACGTTATAATGTGCAGCCGTTGGGTGTGTGGGGGGGAATTGTATATGTCCTTTTCTAGATGTTACTCAGTCCCTCTGCCTTCAGTGTTTTGCAGCAAAATCTAACTTGGAAGGAATGAAGACCTTTCCCCCCCATGCCCGGCACGCTCTCCCAGTGTGATACTCAAACACGTCACACCTTTGTTTACCCAGTAGGATGCAGTCGCAGTTTTTGGAGGCCTAGACCATGTGACCGAGGTCTAACTCCACCACCGTTGCAAGAATAAACCCTGCACGCGTTGAATACCCAACCATGTCTGGTGCAATTAAACACCGGGCCAGGCAGTTCAAAGGAGGCTGTGTAAATAGTAAAACATGGTGTTGACTTGACTTCCTTACTGATGGGGCTCTACGAACAAAGCTCCACGTACTGTCCTCAGGCCATGTGGATGGGAGTAGCACACCTGGACCAAGGGTAAAGAGATGGCTCCCAAGAGCACGCTGAGCCTGCAGTGTCCTTCACGTGGGCCTGATGATTCACTCATCAAGGACTGCCTCTCATCATACTATCCCATGGCAGCTAAAACTCCTTAGGTTTCCCGATCAGACTTGTATTGGAGTAAACCTGTTAAATTATTTATTATTATTATTATTGTGATTATTATTCTATTTTTAATTCTATGTCAGACTGGATGCAATTGGTCACCGTTAACAGTATTTATTTATTATATTTTTGGAATGATAAGTTATTTTTGGATTTGTTTGTTTCAAGGTCTCCATGTCCCCTTGCAAGTGCAAAGGACAGCCTCAGAACTCTATGATCGCTTTGCATTCAGGCCCAGTATTGACGCATCTGACTGTAGCTCGTGTTAAAGTTGGTGGTAAGGCAAAGCGGAATAAGTCCACTTTATTGTGATAGAAGGATGGGGGTGAAAGGTTAACGGGCATCAGAAGGACACTCTGCGTAGTCTTTTCCCATTGAAAACTAGGGTTCATCACAAAATCTTTATCCACCCTTCTGTGTGCTGGAGTCCAATGGACATGAATGGTGCTGGATTCTATTTATGCATCACAAGCCTGTGATCTCACAGAGGATATGGCAAGAATCCTGCTGGTTCCTCTCTGGTTAAATGGGAGAGGGGAGGGAAATTTGCAGTCCTGCAAAGGGAAATCACAGAACAGCCCTTTGCTAGGAGTATAGGTGCCAGTTGGCTGAAAGGCATATTTCACTCCTCTCCTTGAGTCAGACCACAAAATATAACCTGGCTTCTCTGAAGAAGAAACTCTGGTTCCCTCTGTGGTTGCCATCTGTAGGACTTTTGTATGTTGTTTGTTACCAAGTGATGACGTAGCTGTGGTAGATAAAAGAAACAACAGTACGGAAGAACCAGCAGTCCTGAAGATGTTTCCAAAACCCGA